TACACGTGTTCAGGGCCAAAATGAGACAGTGGATTCATATGTGACAGAAATCAAAACCCTCGCGAAAGATTGTGCCTTTGGTGCGATTGCTGATGACATGGTTCGTGATAGAATAGTTTGTGGAACGAGTAACAAACAAGTTCAAGAAAGACTGTTACAAGAAGCAGATTTGACAGTAGATAAGGCCCTTGAAATAGCGAGAAGTTTTGAAGTGAGTAAAAAACAGATGAAAGAAATTCAGTCAGAGGCAGTTTGTAGCATTCAGAAGAGAAGTGGTGCTTATACTCATCAGAGGAAGTTAGAGGACAGTAGTCAGAAGCGATCAGCAAGCGCACAGGCTAGTGTGAAAACGAGTAGTGATATGTGTGAAAGATGTGGAAAATCACATTCAAAGAATGACATGTGTCCTGCAAGAAGTGCTGAGTGTTTGAAGTGTCACAAATTTGGACATTATGCTTCAGTTTGTAGGTCCAAAACAGTAGCGAGGAACACACCTAGAACACAGAACACAAGAAGGTCAGGAAGATGGAAACAAGGTCAAAGCAACCCAAAAGTCCACAGCTTAGAGACTGATGAACTCTTTATTGGGACAATAGAGGATAGAAAGTGTGAAAGTGGAGAAGACTATTCAGAACAATATGCAGATATCCAAGTGAACAAGAAGTTCATAGTACCTATGAAGATAGATACAGGAGCACAAGTTAATGCTATGTCAGAGAGAGACTTTCTAAAAGTCTGTAAGTTTGCAGGTCCTCTTGAGAAACCGGACACACGGCTTTACGGCTATGGACAGAAGTGCTTGAAAATTGCAGGTATGACTTACCTGGAGTGTAGTTACAGAAATGTGTCTGTATGCCTAAAGTTCTATATAGTGCAAGAAGAGGCACCCTCAGTGTTGGGACTTCGAGCTTGTGAGGACTTAAACCTGATAAAAGTCCTGTTGAACATTGAGCGCCTGGTTACCGATACAAGTAGTTCTGAGAAAATACTCAGGATGTTTCCAGATGTCTTCCAAGGCTTAGGATGTCTTGAAGACAAGTACAGTATTCAGCTTGACCCTGAAGTGAAACCAGTAATACATGCTCCACGAAAAGTTCCGATTGCCCTACATGAGAAAGTTCAAGTGGAACTTAAGCGAATGGAGGACTTGGGAGTGATCATGAAAGTGGAAAAGCCCACTGAGTGGGTAAATTCTATGGTAGTCGTCCCTAAAGCCGGTGGTGAAATTAGGTTGTGCCTTGACCCAGCTGACCTAAATAAGGCGATACAGCGTGAGCACTACAGAATGCCCACGATACAAGATGTGACCTCAAAGGTTGCTGACCACAAGTATTTCACAGTCCTAGATGCGAAATCGTCATACTGGCAAGTACAACTTGACCACGACTCCTCCATGTTGACCACGTTCAACACTCCATGTGGTAGATATAGGTTCTTACGTCTTCCATTTGGAATTAAAAGCGCCAGTGAAGTGTTCCAAAAGCGAATGGACAAAATCTTCGAAAAACTGAACTATACTCACCCAATAGTAGATGATATTCTCATCAGTGGCAGAACCATTGAGGAACATAACAAGAACCTCATGGATACTCTTGAGACTGCAAAAGAAAGTGGTATCAAGTTAAATGCAGACAAGACTCAACTGTGTTCGCAGGAAGTGAAATTCTTTGGTGAAATACTCAGCTCTGATGGCATGAAACCAGACCCGGATAAAGTTGAAGCAGTGCGCACAATGACAACTCCAACAAGCAAGAAGGAGCTTGAAGGGTATCTGGGAATGTTCACTTATCTTGCACAGTATTCCCCTTGTCTTTCTGAGAGAACTCGCATCCTGCGTGATCTGATTAAGCAAGACAGGCAGTGGAATTGGACTCCAAACCATGAACAAACGTTCCAAGAGATCAAGGATCTCATCACGAGTTCACCAGGTCCTGTTCTACGATATTTTGATTCCCAGAAAGAGGTTGTTTTGCAAGTGGATGCATCCCAGAATGGTGTTGGGGCTGTTCTGTTACAGGAAGGACACCCTGTAGCATTTGCATCCAAGTCTATGACGTCGTGCCAGCGCAATTATGCACAGATAGAGAAAGAGATGATGGCTATAGTATTTGGCTGTGAGAAATTTCATCATTATTTGATGGGTAGAAGATTTGTTGTCATGTCAGATCACAAACCATTGGAGAGCATTTTCATGAAGCCACTCCATGCTGTACCACTACGTCTCCAGAGGATGAGAATCAGACTGCAAAGGTATGATGTGGTTGTCACGTACATTCCAGGAAAAGATATTCCTGTGGCTGATGTGCTGTCCAGACACTTTATAGAAGATAAGCTGACAGACTTGAACTCTTTTGATGAGGAAGTTAGCGCATATGTTCATATGGTGACAACAGGCTTACCTATTTCAGATAGGAAGATGTCTGAGATAAAATCTGCTACAGCTGAAGATGAACAGCTGCAGGCAGTGATTAGTGCAGTGCTAAATGGTTGGGCAGCTACACATGTAGACTGTTCCGCTCAAGTCAAGGACTTTTGGACATTTTCGAGAAGAACTCTCCTGTGTTGATGGAATTGTGTACAAAGGGAAGTAAAGTAGTCATTCCCTCGAAACTCAGAGTTGAAATGCTTCAATGCATTCATAGTGGTCATCAAGGCATGACCAAGTCAAAAGAAAGAGCTAGAAAGATTCTCTTTTGGCCGTGTATGAACAAAGATATTGAGAGAACAGTAGAGCAGTGTGCAGTATGTCAAGAGCACAGGAAAAGTCCTTGTAAGGAACCCATGATCTCCAGTGAAGTACCTACTCTTCCGTGGCAAGTAGTAGCCACAGATTTATTTTATATGGATGGAAGAGAGTATTTAGTAGTAGTAGACTACTACAGCAGGTATTTTGAAGTAGCCCTGTTAACCAACACAAAGGCTTCTACAGTTATCACACATATCAAGTCCATCTTTGGACGACATGGCGTGCTACCTATGCGTGTTGTCTCTGATAATGGGCCACAGTATGCCTGCGCTGAGTTTAAGACCTTTAGTGACAAGTGGAAGTTTGAACACATAACGTCGTCACCACTGTATCCCCAGGCCAATGGTCTTGCCGAAAAGACAGTCCAAACTCTCAAGCAGCTGTTACGAAAGTCTAGGCAGAGTCATGCAGATCCATATCTGGCAATGTTAGCTTATAGGAATACGCCTATAAATGGACTCGCCTCACCAGCACAACTGCTGATGGGACGCAGGTTGAGAAGTGACTTACCGGTGCAATATGAAATGCTCAGACCTGAAGTTGTTGACTGTGATGTAGTAAAACAAACAATCTCACAGTCACGAGAGACCCAGAAAGTCTACTATGATCAGAGAGCTCATCCAAGACCACCAATACAGGTGAATGACAGTGTGAGATTGAGGCAAGGGAAGGACTGGATCCCAGCTAAAGTTGTGAAATCTGCAAGCACTCCACGGTCTTTGGTAGTAAGAACTCAAGGTGGCACAGAGTACCGAAGGAATAAGTATGACCTGATTCCAACAAAGGAAAATCTTCCTGACGACTGCAGTACCATCCAAAGTCCTGATGGAACCACTCAAGGAGCGGCTAATGCTATTCCAGAGAATGTTCCTGTACAGTCTGCAGACACTCCGCCAGACATGAATGTGTCGCAAAGCCTTGCTCCATCTAGGAACCCCATTTCATTCTCGTCAAGTGGTCGACCAATCTTCAGACCACAGCGATTCTCTGAGTGACTCTAAATTGCAATAAAGGTTTTATTTGTGTTAAAGTTTATTGTGCTCGGGGAGACAGACATTTCATTTAACAGTGTGACACTTAAGGTAGTGTTATCTTTATTTTTAGCTTATGGGAAAAAAGGGGATGTAATGGATCCTGTTTCGTTTACAGATTCGAGTTTTATATGTATTGTGAATTTGAGATTGCCGGACCAAGTTTTTGTACTGATCGTCACATGGCTGAAGTAAAGTTGGCTCGTATTGAGCTCGAGTTGTGTCATTAATACGAAGATATTACACTGTTGATTGACAAAAGTTTAACAAAGAGAGCCCAAGCTTGTTGACAACACTGTCTTGTGATGTGCGTGGTAGGCTGTCGTCTTGATTATAGTTCATGTCATTATCGATGGGCAGATAGGTGAAATCATCGTTTTCAATAAAATCAGGTAGTGTACCATCACCAGTACGGGCATTGAAGTCACCATGAATAACTATCTCACAGCTTGATTTTAAACATAAGATGTCATTCTCTAAGATATCAAATAATTCCTCCTCAGAGTGCACACTAGACCCCTCAGTGGAGAAATACACAGTTCAGACGAATAAAGGCGTTTGTCCTCCGTTATACTTTATCCAAAGAATGTTGTTGGACGCTGATTTAAGTTGAGTGACTTGCGATGAGATATAGTCCTTGACTAGGGTAAGTATACCCCCATGAGTTCCTTATTGCCCCTTCAGTTTTGCTTCTCAACTGGCTGAATTGTTGATAGCCAGGGAAACTGAACACATCATCGTGATTAACCCATGTCTCCACAAGAGATATTATATCAAATCTATTAATAAATTCCATAACACAGTTATTTCTCATTTTTCTTTTCAGTCCTTCAACATTCCAGATGACAAAGTTTAAAGTACCTGGGTTTTGATTACGGCCACACCCCTAGCTATCAGTGTTTGTGACGTTAGTACGTGGTTTCCATGGAAACGTTTTCACGGTGTATAGTTCTGTTTCATTTGAATTAAGTTTAAACAATTTATTGTCAATTTGAATCTTGTCAAAATGTAAGGTTGCATATTTACCCTCTTGCCGTGCTTTGTCCTGGAATGGTTTTAATTTCCGTCTCACTTGTCGAATTCTCTCCAGGTGCGTGCGATTGCATATTCCGGAAGAGGAAGACCCCTCTTCTAGTCGTTCGTTTTCTCCTCTTCTCTTCTCGGGACATCTTCCGGCTCTTCCACTCAGCCAGTGGAAGACGAGCGCGGTCTTCTCAAACAAGATGGCGACTGAGCAAAATGTTCTCACGATGAAGGAGGTGACAATCCGCAAACTGGAGATAACATACAAGTTATGGGTGACGCCCGATGTTTATGATCGATGCCAGGAAGGTAAACAACACTTTAAATTGTATGTTTGAGTTAGGGTTGGTACAAAAAATGTCGAACAATCCATAAGTAGGTCAAAAGTACTACACCACAAAGCTTAAGACAAAGGCTTGCTTTCATTAACTCTAAACTTAAGTCATTTGTTTATTGGCCAAACCATTGCAAGTACATGTTGTCTCAAGGTGATTTAAGTGACCTGAGAAATATATTTGCTAATGGTCAGATCTTATATCCAGTGCCACTGATCCTGTCACTGTTGCCAGAGTCCCAACGTTCAACAGTGTGAAGTCCGTTCTTTACCGCAGCAGAGCCAAAGACATCCCCACCTCTTCCACGACATCGATCTCTTGTAGATTTACCAGATGTTTACACCCAAACCACGACAGGCGAGAACTTCCTCCTTGCTGCAGATGGCCACCAAGACAAGATCCTTATCTTTGCAACTCCTGAGAACTTGCGGCCCCTGTACGAAGCTTCTATCAAGTATTGTGACGGTACCTTCGACAAGTGTCCACCCATCTATTATATACAATACATGCTTTTGTTGAGAACAAAATGTATAAGGTCTTGTGTAAGGTCTCCTCCCCAACAAGAAACAGTCAATATACGAACGCTTCTTCACCTGTGTACGAGATTCTGCAGCAGCCATCAACACTAATCTTCAGCCACACCAGGTCTTCGCCGATTTTGAGATAACAGCCCAGCACGCCATCCAGCTGACATTCCCGGCAACCCAACTTAGGAGAAATTCGTTTTTCATTATAACCAGGCTATATAGAAGAACGTCCAAAAGCATGGACTTACTACCGCTTACCGTGACAACCCAAAGGTTGGTCGACTAATTCGGCGTGCGATCGCCCTCCCTCTCGTCTCTGCACAAAATGTGTTTGAAGTGTGGTTCCAGAAATTAAAATATGCTGCCCTCAAGGACGATGTGACTACCAACTAGGTGGAGGATGATCATGGCCGTGAAATGTGGAACCATTTCAGAACCGAAGGTCCAAGGACAACAAAACATCTAGAGGGGTGGCATCGTAAAGTGAGTGATGTGTTGCCGAAAGCCACCCCAACATTTTTAAGGCCATTGGCATTTTTAAGAAGAACAAGCCTGGGTAGAGGCATGTGTTCTTTGTGAAATAAGTTATAAGTGATATGATTTCATTACTTGTATTTCAAAGTATTGATGTTGTATTAACTTGTATAACTGGATAACTTGTATATATATATAATTAATAAATGAAGATAAACACAGTGAAAAGTAGTTGATATTTTATCAAATTTCGTCTAGGATACTATTTCACAGGGAACAGAATGAGGGATTAAAGTGGATTATCACGCCCCAGTGATTTCTTCAACTGAAGCAATAAAAGTTGAGTAAGTGGGACGACCCAATTTTAACTACTCCTTTATTTGTCGGGCTTCCACTCCCTACCCTTTGTTTACATGTACACACTGGCTTCATCAGCTCACTGCTTTTTTACTCTGCCACTATGTTGTTTTCATTGTTACATTCAGTATATACACATCTCCTCTTCAAGTATCATTCCTGCTTGACAACGGTACAAGAACTTGTATCGAAACGTCGCACTCGCGAAATAAAAGCTGTTATCCATAAAGTTTGTTCTAGCTTCTCTTCAGTTAACTGTCGCCGTAACGATCTCACATTGACATTGGCCATTGTGATGGTCGATAGCAGAGGCCGACACTTCCGGGTTCGCAACATTGTCAACATTAGTCTATTTAATTTTTATTTGTTTTCAAAATATAAACAAGAGGGTATGAAAGGGGAACCAAATGACTGCAACCAACATACTAAATTTTGGATAGAAATGCAAAGCATAATTGGAACTTCTTTCCTAAGAATTCAACGAGTGCATTGCGCCCGCACAACTGGGTCAAGTGTGTCATGTGATCGTGTGCAAATAGTTCCGGCAGCAAGCGGTGTTATGTGTAATAACATTGGAGACTTATCAAACAGCGATATCATGAACGGGTGAGTAATAAAGTACATGTATAATGAGGATCTTTGATGAGTTGGTAGTATGCAGTATTCACGGTTGGCTGATGGTTGGAGTCTATCGATGTAGATAGCTTCTTGGAGTTTCCTTCTTTTAAGCTTTTGAGGTTGGTTTTAGGGCATTGGTTCTGTTTGGTTGCCCTATATTACCTGCTTATACATGTTGTAGGTGATTCTATCATATGTCACTCTGGTTGCCCTATATCACCCATGTGTTGTATTTGATTCTGTCATATGTCAGTCTGGTTGCCCTATTTTATCTGTGTGTTGTAGGTGATTCTGTCATATGTCTGTCTGGCTGCCCTTTGAATTGCTACCTGTGTGTTGTAGGTGATTAGGTCATACGTCTGTCTGGTTGCCCTTTCTTACCTGTGTGTTGTAGGTGATTCTGTCATACGTCTGTCTTGTTGACCTATATTACCTATATATTGTAAATGATTCTGTCATATGTCCGTCCGGCTGCCCTTTGTTACCTATATGTTGTAGGTGGTTCTGTCATATATCTGTCTGGTTTCCCTATATTACCTGTGTGTTCCAGGTGATTCTGTCATACGTCTGTCTTGTTGACCTATTTCACCTGTATGTTGTAGGTGATTCTGCCATATGTCTGCCTGGTTGCCCAAAATTACCTGTATGTTGTAAGTGATTCTGTCATATTTCTGTCTTGTTTCCCTATATTACCTATATATTGTAAATGATTCTGTCATATGTCCGTCTGGCTGCTCTTTGTTACCTATATGTTGTAGGTGGTTCTGTCATATATCTGTCTGGTTGCCCTATATTACCTGTGTGTTGTAGGTGGTTCTGTCATATGTCTGTCTGGTTTCCCTATATTACCTGTTTGTTGTAGGTGGTTCTGTCATATGTCTGTCTGGTTTCCCTATATTACCTGTGTGGTGTATGTGGTTCTGTCATATATCTGTCTGGTTGCCCTATATTACCTGTGTGTTGTAGGTGGTTCTGTCATATATCTGTCTGGTTTCCCTATATTACCTGTGTGGTGTATGTGAATCTGTCATATGTCTGTCTGGTTGCCCTATATTACCTGTGTGTTGTAGGTGGTTCTGTCATATGTCTGTCTGGTTGCCCTATATTACCTGTGTGTTGTAGGTGGTTCTGTCATATGTCTGTCTGGTTTCCCTATATTACCTGTGTGTTGTAGGTGGTTCTGTCATATGTCTGTCTGGTTTCCCTATATTACCTGTGTGGTGTATGTGGTTCTGTCATATATCTGTCTGGTTGCCCTATATTACCTGTGTGTTGTAGGTGGTTCTGTCATATATCTGTCTGGTTTCCCTATATTACCTGTGTGGTGTATGTGAATCTGTCATATGTCTGTCTGGTTGCCCTATATTACCTGTGTGTTGTAGGTGGTTCTGTCATATGTCTGTCTGGTTGCCCTATATTACCTGTGTGGTGTATGTGGTTCTGTCATATATCTGTCTGGTTGCCCTATATTACCTATATGTTGTAGGTGGTTCTGTCATATGTCTGTCTGGTTTCCCTATATTACCTGTGTGGTGTATGTGGTTCTGTCATATATCTGTCTGGTTGCCCTATATTACCTGTGTGTTGTAGGTGGTTCTGTCATATATCTGTCTGGTTTCCCTATATTACCTGTGTGGTGTATGTGAATCTGTCATATGTCTGTCTGGTTGCCCTATATTACCTGTTTGTTGTATGTGATTCTGTCATACTTCTATCTGGTTGACCTATATTATTTGTGTGCTGTAGGTGATTCTGTCATATGTCTGCCTCGTTGCCCTTGGTTACCTGTATGTTGTACATGATTCTGTCATATGTCTGCCTCGTTGCCCTATATAACCTGTATGTTGTAGGAGATTCTGTGATGCAGCTGTTTGGCTGCCCTTTGTTACCTGTATCTTGTAGGTGATTCTGTCATATGTCCCTCTGGTTGCCCTATATTACCTGCAACAGAGAAAGACTGAAAGATAACCGGGGAAAATGTTATAATACAAAAGGTGTATAGAGAGAAGAGTACTGGAATCGTTTCCATTTGCATATATATTTATGTACATTTTTTAATATAATTACATTTTTATGATTTGTCAGATCTGCAATGCCGTTTAAAATAGCAGATAATGTAATCACAGAATTACTACCACATACATCTTGAATAGCTTTAAGCATGATCTTTCTATGTTGATTGTATAAAGAACATTCTAAGAAATAGTGATGAGCATTTTCGCACGGGTTTCCACATGCGCAGGATGGATAAGTGATTAGCCCTACTCTGTACAGATCGTAACTTAATCTACTAGCTTCATGACGTAGTTGAGTATGTAATATGTAAATTTTCTAATACCGTAAGAAAAGTACAGTGGGGCTGAGTTATATGATGTTATTATGCTCGATTTAAACTTTGATAATGAAGTACAATTTCTTACATCTGTAGATAATTTGTTCCAGAATCTTATAGTCGATGGGAAGAACGACTCATGAGATTTTTTTATTCTTGTTCTCGGCAAGCAGATATTGCCTGAATTTCTTAGATTTTATTGACTCCTGGAGCCCACGAACTGAGGAATTATTTCTTTTAGGTTGATTGGACTTTTGTTGTTTTGAATATTATAGAACAAAGACAATTTTCTTATTCTTCTACGCCCTGATAGTGCTTACAAGCCTCTTTCATAATATAGTGAATTAAAAGAAGAATATTTGGGAAGTCCTGTAATAATGCTTGCAGTTTCCATCTGGAGCCTTTCCAATTTTAAACTTAGTGTATTTCTATGAAGGATATATTTAAGTTTTCTCATTGAGTAAATCATTTTAGAGGTTTTGGAAACAATATTAGATACATAGGAGGACCATTTGCCCTTCGATGAAAGTATTATCCCCAAATGTTTATGATCTTCTACCGTTTTAACAATCTTATCGTCAAATAATAAGTTAATCGAGCAAATATCATCTTTAAGTGAGAAAAGTACTGATTCTGTTTTATCTGGGTTGTATGATATCAACCACTGGTTTGCCCAGTCTGAGATTTACGTTTAATGAGGTTTCTATTCTGTTAATATTTCCAGAAGCCTTGTCTAATGACGTGTCATCTGCAAATAGTCGCGTTATGCAATCTAAGTCATCATCAATATCGTTTACATTAACAATGAATAAAAACGGACCCAACACTGATCCCTGTGGGACGCCAGCTTGGAGTAACCTTGGTTTAGACAGGGCTCCATTAACAAAGACCTTTTGATAGCGATTACATATGTACTTTATATAACCACTCTAAAAATCTACCTTTAATACCATACATTTCCAATTTATGTATAAGCCCTCTGTGCCAAACACGATGTTACCTGTATGTTGTATGTGATTCTGTCATGTGTTTCTGGTTGCCCTATAGTACCTGCATGTTGTACGTGATTCTCTCATTTGTATGTCTGGTGAGGTGAGGTGAAATTGGGTTTAACGTCGTACTTGAGAATATTTCGCTCATATGACAACGTGCATGCGTGTGTATGTGTATGTGCGGCTGCTTGTACTAGTCCAGACTTAAGCTGGTTTTATAGTGCTAGCCCACTGAGATACCATGCCGCAGTGAAGCATGAATACCCCACTTAGACACATTATACTGACTCCGAGCCGACCAGTCCTTGTTGTACCCATTAATGCCAAGCGCCAGGCAGGAACCAACAAGTACCATATTTTAACGTCTTTTGGTATGACGCAGCCGGGGATCGCTCTCCGGGCGGACGCTCTAACCACTACAGCACGGAGGCGGTCTGTATGTCTGGTTGTCCTATATTACCCGTGTGTTGTAGGTGATCCTGCCATCTGTCTGTCTAGTTGCCCTATGTTACCTGTGTGTTGTAGGTGATGCTGATCATGTGGAGTGGAGGCCTGGCTGCTGTCATTGTGCTCAGTCAGGCACAACTTTACTTACGTACGTCCGAGATATTCTCACGATCAACAATAACATCATGCACAGACAAAGAGATTATTGTTGACTGGCCATCATATTCTCACAGCAACACAAATATGTCTATTAAATATGCTTTTGACCTTAATATAATCATATTCTTCATGGTGATGGACAGTGAGATAGATAGATGGATTGAAGTGAAGTGATAGAGGTATTCATGTATGGATGCTCTATTTCTAGTCGTGTAGGCCGTCCTCCAAAATTAGCCCTTGATCACACAAGAAGCTTTCCTCCGTCTAATGCACACTTTACTAGGCAAACAAACTCAATATAGCAACTTTGAAAGTAACATTTATACTTTAAGGCATAATGGATTCAAAGTCTGTCCAAAGTTAAATTTGAAAACTGGAAATATTGCAAAAGAGAAGTCAAAACATAAAACCTGTCACTGAAGTTATAACATGTTCCTAGTGTTTGATGCACTGAGCAGTGATCGGGCCAGACATGCTCACTATAATCAATAGTCACTGACAATAATCAAACACATGCATCAAACATGCCACTTTACCTGTTAATGATTAATATTGAGATTGTCCGAGTTATTCCCCATTAACACCTTGAACAGTGAAATGACCAGTGGGAAGCGCTTATGATAAATATCTTATGTTTCTGTGTTCTGAGTTTTCAAATAATCAAAACAATGACAAATTTCACTAAAGCCCATCTGCCCTTTTCACAGCATTTACAAAAGTCTATCTATGATAATGACAGCCACATAAAGTGTATTATTGTAATGTAGATCACAAAAGTGAGCTCTGACAGGGGTGAGTTACTAAACATGGAAGTGCAACAGGCCTGCTAGCTAGTTGTTAACTAGCATGTGAATAGAGGTTACTTTAACTAATCACTTCAAGTTAATTCAACGTGTAATTTACCTTTTTTTCTTTTGCAATGTAATGGACTGATTGGTAGAAGGTACCAACTAGCTTGTAACATGTTTGAAGACAGAAATGACAAAAATGCCAGGTCTTTCCTTCATGTCTGTAGGTGTGGTAATTTGAAGTAATATCAGACCATTTTAGACAAATCTTTAATGGATCATTTTGTATGGCAGTTCCCTCCCTGTCAGGCAAATATTTCAGCTTTCAGACACCAGTGACTGATGTGGTTCAGTTCTGTCCTTTACTTTCTATTAAAGATCTTCAATAGTCATGATAATATAAAACTGTTGAATCTTTGCTCAGTTTGGAAGTGGCCAGACAATATTTAATGTTCCGACCATATTCACTGATTGAAACATGTTTTCCCCACTCCTTTGTTTTGTGTGATGTAATGCACAATTACGGATATGAATGTATACCATTGCCAGTCTATATGAATATGTCTCCTGTTATGGTAGAAACTCATAAATCTGAAATAAGAATTCCGTTTTTGCAGAGTGTCCTGGCAGCTGTATCTGTCGAAACAAACAGTGTGTGTCGTGCAAAGAGAACCACTATAGCCCTGGCTCAGGGTGTTTCGCGACGTGCAGTTTCACATGTAAGGAGAAGGAATGTAATGGTGTTACTGGCTACTGCACCCATGGGTGTAAAGATGGCTGGTACGGGTCTGATTGTGGCCATATCTGTACAGGATTCTGCAGCAGATGCAACAGAGAAACAGGATTTTGCGAAATAACTTCCGGTATGTGACACATATACTGTTGGCCTGCCTCTTTAGCCGCATGTCCCAAACAGCCATGTCTAATGTATTTAGATCGATGTTAGAGCATGTTATGAATCATGTTAGTGACCAGTTCAGGATTTTTGTTATGAATTTCAAGTGTTTGTAGTTACTCCCTATTTAGGTTTTATTGACTGGCATTAAACTGACAAGCACCTGTGACAGTAAAATGAGATAGAATCGAGCAGGTCAGTCAAACAACTTTTCCAGCGAACAAAGAGAGCTGAACGATATGGGGGAATTTTACATTTTTCCATTGCTAGGTAGATAAAGTACCATACCAAATTCCTCGATCCTGGTATGATGGAGACTCCTGGTCAACTTAGGGTTGTCCAGCTACATGGCCCATGCATGTCAGGAATTCTCTGGAGATAAAAAACAAGATGTCTACATACTGTTTTTTAATATAGAAAAAGAAATCTAACATAATTCACTTGTTCAGATTAAGTGTTTTGAGTGTCCAATCCCTCCCTGTGGGGATTCGATGTTAGAATGTCTCCAGCAAGAGGCATGTAAGGAACTGTGTAGTCAGGCTATGTATGTTGTTGTACTCCAACATTACATGGGTCATTGCCCAACCTGTTTTTTATGGTCCAGGGCCTAGATTTTCGAAGCTCTCTTAGCGCTAAGATAGTCGTAACTCAATGTTAATGAATGGCACTTACGACTATCTTAGCGTTAAGAGAGCTTCGAAACTCTAGGCCCTGAACATTATTTACAGGCCTTTGTCATTCAGCACGAACATTTCTGAGTACGACGTTAAGCTATTGATATAAAAGCATTGATATGATGAAACTTTTACTGTGTGTGTATTTTGGCTGACAGTTATGATTCTCATTGTAGGGTCAGAGGAGGATGGGGGGAGTTTTCTCTTTCCAAGCAAAATGTTTGGCTTTGTGTTTTGCTTTGTCGTCGTTCTGTGTGTTGGTGCGTTGATGGTCAACTGTTCGAAGAAACAGAAAAAATGCAGTGAATCCCGTGATGACGATTCCAATGACCTTGAAATGTGGCCGTCGACTCAAACCCAGCTTCACCACTCACAGGACAGTGTTCCAAGTGCATCAGTGTGGCACTCCGGGAGTTATGTTTTGGATGCGGATACTCCTGGCTGGGGTGAGGAGGAGGAATCGGAAGAAAATGAGGCAATAGCTCAGCACTCCCCCTCTCCCCAACCAGCATTCCAGGAACCGACACAGCCACCATACCACGAACCAACACAGCCCCCACACAGGGAACCAGCACATCCTCCATACCGGGAACCAGCACAGTCACCAGCTCATCCTGCACCTTCAGGCCAAACGGACGCTCCACCAGCGTACTCCTCACTCTTCCCTGACACGTCTTCCAAACACTAGCACATGCCATTTCACTCGAGGGCATGTTGTGATACAACTGAAATATTGTTCCATTACACTCACTCACTACAATGTAGTTCAGCAGGATATGTACCCGGCGTTAGAGGTAACAGTTTAAAAAGGGAGCACGTGACATGTTTACCTTATGATTATATAACTGTACTTATTGAATGTATGGGATTGGAAATTGTTGATAAGATGTTTCTCCAGAGTAAAAAGTGACATTACTCAGATAGAATTTTAATCAAGAAACAATATGTCTTTTGTTCTCTAGCATAGGCATTTAGCATTAGCATTTCAAGAGAAATGCATTTGTTCTAAGATCATTGTATATATTTAGCTCTGGGCAAGGTCTAGGTTGTCAGTCAAGGCTCATAGTTCAAGGTTGTGTCATGTCAGGTCATGGCACTAGCAATTGTTTATCATGTGATCAGTTATTCTGATTTTTGATTGGTTGATTGGCAAACAATTGACTCTGCATGTTGCACCTGAGCAATTAACCTTCACTTCACATTGGGACACAGAGATTGACAGGTGAGCCTTTTTGTTTTGGCATGACATTTTTACAGTGCTTGTTAGTACAAGTAAAATAAGTGTTATAATCCAATTCATAGTAAAAGCTTATTTTATCTTTAACAATAATTGTATTGTAATTTCTTGTAGTTAATATAAATTAAAAGTAATAATTCTATGATAGTTTAAATAAGCATTTCAAACATTATCTTTACAAAGTTAGTTACTTGCCAAATTAAATTATTACACGTCATAATTTAATTTATAACACATTATTATTTCCCAATGTGTGATTTGTGACTGACTGAATGAATCGCTGTACTGTTTGTGTACTACAGACGGTAGCGTGTATGCTGCAGTATGCCATGTGGTCTTGGAAGGGCGCCGCCATGCGCTTGATAAGCTGTATACCATATATATGTACATGTAAGTGACTGCTTGTGTATTAAGGATTTTGCTACATGGTATTAGGCTGTGTCATTCTTGGTTTTATTCTTTGTATGTAATGTGAGAATGTGTATGTAATTATGCAATATTTCAAATGAGCATTTGTATTAGAACTCAATGAAGTGTAATGAAATGAAATCTATTGCCATTAAATCTGGTGTATTGAATTCAATGTACTGAACATGACTTCTGTTATTTCAACATGGTGTAATGATTGATATGTTAAGTATGTCATGAATTTAGATGTGATGTGTTGAATGTCACGTTATTGTTAACTATATTATTGCATAAATGTTCCAGGCCACTAAGTTATCAGTACCATGCTGGATCACCAGAAAAAAACTCTCACAATACTCTGAATAAAAGATTGACCCCAGTCGATATTTGAATTTATTAAAATTGTGTATTTAGTTAGCCTATAGTAGTCAGTAAGCTCTCTTTGGATTTCTTTGAATTCTGGCACTTTCTTTTGTGATCTTCTGGTGAATATATAATGTTTTGTTATTAATGTGATGATGTATAGTGGGTTATTCCTTTTTTCGGTATAGCCAAGGAAACAATTTATTTTGATCTATATTTATCCGAGCTTCCTATAACAGCCAATGTTTCAGATCATTCCAAACAGAGCGTATATAATGGCAGTCCCAGAACAAAGGGATTCCTTTTCTGTAGAACAATAGCTGCATAAATCGCTTTCAACGTATCCCACTTTATAAAGGCGAAAATATGTGGGTAAGATATTATGCAAAATCTGATAATGAAACCATTGAAACTGGGTAGAATCTGTGCATTGAGACATAAATAAATCATAGCTTGTGCGTTCTCTGTCGTTAATATGGGATAATATATGTTCCCATTTCCCGAAATGTTGGTCTTTACACTGATGCCTTTTGTATCAATATTTTGTAGAAATATTGTGAACCTTGAGAGTTTTCAATAGATGAGCAATGTGGAATGGTAGTAATGGATATGCAATTTGATTCATTTTTGTTTCCTACAATATTGTTTATGTTTAATATACACAAAGAACTTAATTAAGCACCCCCTGTATTTGGCAAGGATAGGTTTTCAAAACATGCCTAAAACTTTTGTGGTGACCACAATGGAGTTTTTCTGACCCGTATGATCCGTTGACTCATGAAAGACGACAAAATGATTGGAATCCATATGATTTTATGATGATAACCGCTCTGTTTAAAAAAAACCCAGTGATTTTCACACACACCGTGTCTGTACAAGTATGGCCCTGGAATGTTTATTGTTGAATTTACTGATGAATGTGAACATTCAAAATGTCATTTTGCGTGTCGTACACGATTCAAGGTCAATACCGATGGATAACTCCATATGGCTGTATGACAGCCAGCACTCTCCTCCCCGTCAGCCTCCTGATCCTCTGAAGGGGCAGTCTAAGCCATTCCTCGTGCAAAGCAGCTTCCAGTTGGACCAGGTTCTATACAGGAGGATCCCTTTGTTGCACACAACGACCAATCATGTCCCAGATAAGCTCCAAAGGGTTAAGATCAGGGCTCATTCAATTGTGAGATATGTCAGGGGGTGCTTATTATTACGTTCTTTGTGTATAGATTGTATGATGCCTAAATGATCTAAGTAGTTTATCACGATGGAGTTAAGCTTACAAAAGTCTCTATGGGCGTAAAATTGTCTCTTTTCGTCAATATAATCGTTTATGTATCTTACGCCTATTTTGTACAATTTTTCTACGAAGATTGTTTTATATCCCATTTGTATGTTATCATTAAACCAAACTGATTGAGCCATCAGAACAAGTTAAAGTAGTTTTGTTCAAACCCTCTATAAACAACCACCAACCTTGTAGTATCTTTGTAAAACGGATTATTTATGTTGACTGACTGACTGACTGAGTATGGTTTTACGCCGCTTTTAGCAATATTCCAGCAACATCACGGCGGGGAACACCAGAAATGGGCTTCACACATTGTACCCATGTGGGGATTCGAACCCGGGTCTTCGGCGTGACGAACCAACGCTTTAACCACTAGGCTACCTCACCGCCCTATTTATGTTGAAAAGGAAACATGCGTTTTGTTGTTTACTCATCATTTCATCAACACTGTGGGTTTTGACACAAGAGGTATTTGAAAATAACAAGTGTTTCCACTTAACGTTAGTAGTAAAGGCGCGTCTTAACTCATTAAGCCCGAGCGACACTTCACTACTCAACACCTGGAACCCCCTCGCTAATTGCCCTGCTCACTGTTGCGAGCAAATTAGTGCTATTCGCATCTGATTTCCCTGGCAGGTTTCGGGGATGACAGGAAACTGTCTAGTCGTACAAACAAGCTCTGATTGTTTAATGGTGTCGTAAAGATACAAGTTAAAAGAAAGCAGGTGTGAATACATATCATGTATGGCAACGTTTTATGTCATTTTATTGCAAGTTTCACTTGAAGACCTTTTGCGGCTTGTACATTTATGTTTTATCAACATATGTATGTATTCTTTGTATGTAAGAGATGAAACATACATAAACATTTTTTTTCTCTTATATCATTGTGTGAGGTTTAATTTTACAAAATGTTTATGACAATGACATACTGTAATTTACATACATGCATTATAATCTTCTACGATATTAGCGTTTTTGCAGATAGATTTCTACTGTATACTGAATATACTGAGTCAAAAAAGAAACTTCACATTCTTTCTTCAGGGCACTATAAAAGAACAAGAGATGGTAAGATGGTGAAATTGTTATTATTTTATTGCTGAGATCTGTGTGATGTACTCCATACACTGACAGTGCCATAATCAGTTCCATTAGGCTACACCGCCGTTCCAAAACATGGGTAGACAGAATGTCAAGTCACAAGAATAAAAATGCGAAATTTCTCAGTTCAGTATCGTGTATGGCCGCCCCGCGCATTCATCACTGCCAAACACCGTCTCCTCATCGACTGCCTGATGCTTGTGAACACGTGGTTGGGGATTCTGCGCCATTGCTCTTGCAAGGCAGCGCCAAGTTCCTGCAAATTCTGAGGTTGGTTCCTAAGACCACGAAGCCTTCTCCCAAGTGCATCCCAAACGTGCTCTATTGGATTAAGGTCAGGGGACCTCGATGGCCAGTCCATGACGTTGATTCCAGCGTTTTGAAGGAAATTTCGTGTCAACATCGCGGTATGCGGCCGATCATTATCATGCTGGAACTTTAGACCTGGGCCATGAGCCGCCATGAAAGGAACGAGTTCAGGGGTGAGCACCTGGTCGCGGTAAGCAGCAGCTGTGAGGTTTCCACGGATGACCAGAAGTCGGGAACGGTTGTTCCCACAGAAAGCACCCCCTCACCATGCAACTTCCGCCCCCGAATCTGTCGACTTACTGTACACAACATTGGGCATACCGTTCACGACGTCGTCTCCAGACTCTATGCCTGCCGTCCGCGAATCTGAGGGTAAACCTGGATTCATCGCTAAAGACGACTCGATTCCAGTCTCTCTGGGTCCATCGGAGGTGACGTTGGGCCCACAGCAGACGTTGACGTTGATGAAACGGCGTCAATATTGGCCCACGATATGGACGTCGAGAATGGAGATTGGCAGCCCGCAACCGATTTCAAATGATCTGTGAGGACAGTCGACCTCTAAACATCTCAGCCCTGGTTCGTGTAGCCGGCAGAAATCTGTCACGTAGGTGACGTAGGACGATTTGACGGTCTTCTGCTCGTGACGTCACACGAGGACGACCCGATCTTGGGCGATCAGAAGTGGTGCCAGTTTGTTGTAGACGACCTCGCAAGTCATACACAGTACGACGGCTGCATCCCATTGCTCTTGCGACGTCAATAACTGATCTTCCCGCTTGCAACATGCCAACGGCACGTTCACGTTGCACATTTGACAATCGTGGCATTTCAAGTACCGTTAGAACTGTGGTTTAAAAGTGTTTTTTCAATTCTTGAGGCCAATGCAAACACGTGCATATGAAGAAAACTGCGATGCGAACATCACGTGATCGACTGCACGTGCAAAACCTGATTTAGCACTAACGTCATTTGCACGACGAATGGATGGGTTTGAGTGGATTTTGCTAACGTTTTTCTAGAGTCGAAAGATAGGGATCCCATTTCGGATACATAGATGTATCATCAGATAAAAATTATTCATTATTTTTCAAGTTTCTTTTTTGACTCAGTATATTTCAAGGAAAGTACTATTACGCTAGTCTGTGACTAACATAGAGCACATTCATAACTTTGTTTCATCTAGATTTAATGCAAAAACATACGTAGTCATACGAAAATAAATATAAAAAATTGTATAATACAGATTCCTTGTATAGACATAAAACAAAGAGTCACGTGATAGGGCGTCATCAAATTTCCCAAATGGAACATGCGGTAACCCAATCGCTCAATATAGTGGCTGATCATTTGTTGTCTATGACCAATCGTATCATGAGATACCTGTCACAGAGGAAGGGACAGGTGATGGGGCTTGGACGAATTTCTGAAGACCACGTTCGGTCACTCTGGACAGCTGGATAGAGATTGATTATTGGCTATACCGTTGACCAGTCGATATGCTGGGTTTCGGCTTTAACAACACAAGTTATTATGTAACAGTTTGTGTATTGTAAACATACATAATCGTAACG